TGTAGAGCTGTAGTTCCAGCCTTCACACATTATTTATTAGGGACTTACAAAACTAGTGGAAAATGACAGGGAGAAACAATAGAATGTGGGGAAAGAGGGGGAAGAGAGAGTGGAATGTGAGACTCCAGAGAATGGGAAACATACTCTGCTGTGGGGAAAGGAAAAACAAGAGGAAGAAGAAACACAGGTGCAACATCAGCAACCACAGTGCCACACCTATCAGAGAGAAACCCTCCTCCTTATATTTGCATATGCATATTTCTGCATCTGCTAATAAACGTCTTTTTTCTTCCTCATTTCTAGAGCCAGAAGACTGTTAATTCCAGAAGTCTGTTCTTATCTATTCTTTCCTGGCTGTCCAGTGTGCATTTTCTAACATGCTTTTGTTTAGGAAAGTTATTTTCTTGCTACACAGCAGAAATATTTGTGCTAAATCTACTCTATAAAGGAGCCAAAAATGTGAAAAATGCTCTGGAAGCAGAAAATAAAGTTATGAGGAAGGAAAGGAGACACTACAGGAAAACTCATTTGCAGAGAAATGCAGCTTATGTCTTATCAACTTAATTCCAGATAAGTCTTCATTTTGCTGTGGAGACAGATGTGATAAATATGTTAATGGCAGATTTTGATAGCTCAGTTTGTAGAACTGCAAAGCCAGATGGAAGTGATAATTTTTCTTTCATTTTAATTTTGAAATAAAAAGCAAGAAAGCAAGAAAGTTCTGGGTATCTTAACACTGCAATGACTTTTGAAAGGATAATGGACCTTAGCACAAAATGACGATTAACTATCATGCCTTGATGCTCCTATTTTATTAAATTCCAGTTTCCTTGGCTGGAATTCTCTCAGTTTTCTTGCCAGAGATGAGCAGATTACTGCTTGTGACTGACTTTTCCAGTTCCACATTCATAAAGTTATTTAGAAGCAATCCAGCTGGTGGATTTTTTACTGATTCTGCTGCTGCTCTGGTTAGATACATGACTAAAGAGACCATTGATAATAGCATTGGATGGAACTAACCTCTCTTACTCCTTATCAGGAGTGAAATACTGCCTTTTTTGTCCCTTAAGCAGTGCCCTGATGGTCTTAGGAGTACAAGGTTAAATTGTGGCTTTCCATGTATTGATTAAGATTGCATTTATCTGTATCTGGTGTGGACTTTTTGTTTCAATTTAATACAAAACCATTGAGGGACATAGATTAACACCTTAAATGTGTAGGATACTTACTGCTTGAACTTACAGGCAAAAAGAAGGCTAGAAAACTTTTGCTGCTTGAATCCTCTTAAAGGGGAGGAAACAGTAGTTTTCTGAGCAGGTGAAAAAGGAAATGTTAGAAAACTATTTTCAAGGAAGCTACTAAGTGAAAACTTGGTTTATCATATTTGCAGTGGTGTTTCTAATGTGTGGAAAAAACAGACACAACTGAGTTGTTCCCTTTATATGAATTTTCATTTCAAGAAAGTGAGGTCCTGACTGAGTACTCCCACAGGAACTCTCCAGGAACAATGCTCCATTCTCAAATCAGTACCATTAACTTCTGGGGTTTTCTTAGATAAGCTCACAAATCAGAAACTGAATGACCATTTACCATTTTCTGCATGTCATTTAAAACCCCCACCAAAATTCACTCAAATTATTCTAGAAAAGAGAATGTAGTTTTCTGATGAATTTTATAATACATATTACCATAGGATAGACAAAGGATACAAGTTGCTATGTCATCCTTGTCCTCAGCTGGGGGTGCTTGTGGGTAGAGGTATTGGCTGTTGGATAAATATCTGCTTTCATCTAGTAATATTAGATAGATATCTTCTGTATGAAGTTTATTTTCATCATTCGATACAAACTATTTTTTTTTCCATTTGTTTAGTTTACATGCATTTTCTTGGGGTTTGTCTTTTTAAATTCAATTAGCAAGTTGCAAACATATGTGGTCTGGATGTTTCTTACGCAGACAAAATGTCCATATGAGAGGGAAAGGGAAAGTCTATGCTGTGTGGGGAGAGGAGAGATCCCAGGTTCTGGAAGTGAAAGCTGTATCAGCAGGAGCTGAGCAAACTTAATTAGCCCTGTGAAGAGACAGGGCAGAGTGCTTGGTTAATACAGCTGTATCATGTTTGAGGATTCCTCTGCTGTCTCTGGACTTTGCTGAACTGTGAAGACATCCATGTCTCTGCAGCACTGCACCTTGCACACAAGCAGAGGCAGTTCTCACACTTGTCTGAGGTTCCAGTCCTCGCTGGATGCCGATCTCACACAATCCAGTGACTGACATGACCGAAAAGTGTGCAGTGAAGCATGCAGTCCTTCTCCTGGGTTCAGAGTTTCCTTACCAAGGTCAGAGAACAGCAGGAACAGACAGCTGGAGCCTCTCTGCTCTCACATCCTTGCTGTGAGCTGAGGCAATCAAAGCACAAGCTGTAGCTAAAGGTGACCCACACTTGCAGATAATCCTCAGGTATTGTCAAGAACCAGACAGATCTTAGTCTTCTGTGGACTCATGCAGCAGCAGTGTTTTATCCTGGAGCTCCAAACCAAGCAGAGCTTCCCAACTGGTGTGCAAGGAAACCATTCACCACGCTCCAGCAAGCAGCCAGAGCTCCCCAAGGACCAGGCAGGGAACTACCTGCAGGAGAAGCATGGCAACTCATGCAGCACTAAAGCTTATCCCAGGCTGCCACCTTGTCAGGCTTAAGTTCAACTTATTAGGACGCTCATCTGTTATTTATGCAAATAAGCCTATGCATAGTCACAAAATATGCAAAGATGGCTATTTATCTGTTTGGCACAGTTTCTGACTTTTTGAACCCTCAGACATTCCTGATACATTTAAAAAAAAACAGAATCTCCCCCAGCACTGCAAAGAGGAGAAGGCAGAGCCTAGATGCTACCATCCACGTCTTCTCAGAGGACTCATGGTGCTCAGGATAGAAAAGATAATGCATTCTGTGTGACTTTAAACACAATATGTTACAGCTCAGGATGTTTAATCTAGTGAATAAGAGATCTTTACTTTTTTCACCTTCCCAGGGGAGGAGATTTGCTATATGCAAAACTTCAAGCATTTTGACTGCAGTTTATTATTTATTTAACACAGGTACCTGCCCCCACAAAAAATTAAATAGGGTCTTCTGAAACAGTGTTTAAATTATCTCCTTTGTCTGGACAGCTGTAGTCTAAGGTTGCTCTCACTTATGAATGTTCAAAATCACCTTGGCTCACCCCTCTTCTGCCCTTACCGCTCTCTTCTCACTTTAGGAAAATATTATCTTCTGCATGAGCCTGATCTGTAGTCAGTATCTACCTGCTTTTCTGCATACACAGCCATCAGTAACTGCAGGAGGTTTGAATCCTCCTGACAAGGGTACAGATTGACCAGAAACACAGCTTTAGGGAATTTTCCCCCAGTTCCTGACCACTGGCAGTACCAGGGTGATTGCTTGTCTGTTAGCTCCATGGACAAGCTTCTCATGTATCCTTCCCTGCATGTTTTATTTCCTTGCATGTGTTATTTAAGATGCTCAGTATTCATTGTAAAAATGAGAAGGAAAGACATTTCTGTAGTAAAGACAGGAGAAAATGATGCACCTTTTTTTTGTAGTAACCTTACATTAGGGAGCCACCTTATCCGTTCAATTCTTCTATGGACTGTTGTAATCACCTCCCAGGATTTATATGGAGATTTGGACCTGCATGTGGTCTTGGAATTGGGGAATGAGAGGAGAACACCTCCAGCAGGCAAAGAGAGGTACTCACAAACACTGCCCTTTCAGAGTGGTTACAATTCAACTTTAGTTTCATACCAACACACAAAAAAAAAACTTCCTCTGAATCTCCAAAATATAATTACATGAGTTATATTGTACTTAAAGCATAGCAATCACAACACAGGGTGCTCAGTCCACCCTGACATCAGGATGAGGATCTCATCAGGAGAGAGAATAGTAAGATCAAAAGCAAGAAAACTCATGGGTTCAGATAAAGACAGCTTAATAAATGAAGGAAAGGGAAAAAATACCCCAAAACAGTGGTGCAAAGGCAGTCACTCACCACCTCTGACAAGACTCTTGTTTGACCAGTCTCTGAATTATGGCTGCCCTCCCAGGCAAATCAGCCCCTCAATTTTTATTGCTGGACACAGTATTATTGTCATGGAATATCCCTTTGGTCAGCTGGGGTCAGCTCTCCAACCTGTCTCCTCTCCCAGCCTCTTGCCCAACCCCAGCTAACTTCCTTGGGGAAGCCTGGGAAATCAAGAAGTCCATGAGGCTGTGGGTGCATGGATGAAAAATAGCCAAAAGATTGGTGTGTTATTAACTCTTATTAAATCAAAAATCAAAAAATACTTTACAGACTGGTGTGAAGAAAATCAACTCCACCTCAGCCAGACCCAACAACAAAAAAAAATAATGAACAAAAGCATTGTCCTAGTTAGTTAAACATGAAGAAAATTGTCCTAGAAGGGGCCCTTCTTTTTTAACATCAAGTTCTATTCTAAAAGAAATGCTTCTTTTTTTAAAAAAAAAAATTAAAAAAAAAAAATCCAACCTATTTCCCATTTGGGTAAGTGCAAAACAATGAATTCAAAAATTTCAATACAACCTGCCTCTCTGTGAACTTAATTCTGCAATTTCCAGCTGAGCAAAATTATCTTTACATCATGAAAACATATGCTTCCCCTTAATAAAGATTTAAATACAAGCACTTCAAATCTCTCCCTTCACTTTTACAATGGTGCAGTAAAGGTTTATCAGTGCAAAATTATACAGCCAAGATTTCTGCTGTGAGTCGGCATGGTTCCGTTGTTTTTCATGGATCAATTAACGCACACTGGAGATTTTAGCCATTCCTGTCTGTAATGGCTAATTTGCTTATTACAGGGAACTGAGAGCCATCTGTGTGTGTGCCATAAGGACACAACAGTGAAATGAAGACTTTAAACCCACAGAACATGACCTGTGCTTGTAAGACGTTCAAAGACAAGGAGGGATACCTTACCTTTGGAGCCTGTAGTACATCAGACACACCTTGCTTAGGCACTGCAAAAATAGGTGGTGGTGCTGCTGCTGTTGGCTTTTTGGGAGGCCTGGGTGGTGGATGAAGGGGCAGGTTTTCATACCTTCGCAACATATAGTATTCGTCTTTGCTGACTTCTTCCACTGTTGTCCTAGTCACAGGCGGTACAACTGTCTGGACATCTTTGCTGAGCAAATGGACCAGCATGTTTAAGCGATACACAGGGATCTCCCAGCTCTCTGCTGGATTGCTGGCACTACTGATCAGCAAGTAAGAGTCTGTGATTTCTTCTTCAAACTGAAGACCAGGCGCGGCAGCCAAGACATCCTTCTCAATGGAAAGGTCCCTCACAGACACTTTGACATTGAAAGGCAAACGGAATTCTTTGCAAATCTCAGAGAGGTGGTACTGTTTCTTGTCATGAATCACTTCCACAAAGCCACCTTCCATGTACATGGGGAGGAGCACTTTTTTATGTGAATCACTAAGTATTTGCTCACAAGCTAAAACATCTATGAGTTTCTTTCTTCCCTCATACAGAACTTCACTAGTCTGGCATTGCTGAACTAGAAATTGATCTCCAACTGAAACAGATAAAAGCTCTTTAAAAGGGGAAGAAAAGGCTTTAGTTGCCACAACATGAAGATGTTCTTTTTCACTTCTTGCTATCTCTAAGTCATAGGCAGTTGGAAACTCCCGAGGTCTTCTCTTGAACTTTCCTTTGTAGCTCATAGGGATTAAATAATGTCTTTTGGAGGAATCACTTCTCATCTCAGAGGCTAGGACTCTTGTTGCCTGGTACTTTTTGTAGATGACAATCTCTTTCCCTGTAGACAATAAGTTATAAGGTTTTTGGCTTCCCGAAGGCCCTTCCATTATCTCAGCAACCATAGGAAAGTCTTTGTTTGTTCTCTCAAATATATCTTCCAAAGAAAGTGGCTGAAGGAAAGAGCTAATATCATAACAGTCTGTTACATCCTTGACCTCAACATCCAGATCTGAGAGAATATGAACTATGTCCTTTCGAACTGAAAAGAAAAAGAAATGTATTGGGTTTTGTTTTCAAACTGGCATTGAAACAAAATACAAGTCCTGTTGACCAGATCCTAAAACAACCTCCCCTGAGGTGTGTGTGTCCATGTGTAAATGTGAACCACTAACAGGGCCAGCCAAAGTCTAATTGTTGTAACTTGTGAGATATGGTATCAGGAATTCACGAGACCACACAAATTAAGAGAGAGAATAAGGTGAGCAAGTGAGCACAAAGTTTAAAAAAAGAAAAGTCTAATTCACTATTTTCTCCACAGCACCTCCAAGTTTAATCACTTGTTTATCTTCTCAAACTCTTGGGTGCGAGCTGTATTTTTATTCTTTTATTTCATAGCAGCTTAGGGTTTCTCTAAAGAAATGAGTAGGGAAATATTTTAAATAAATAAATAGCTTTTGGATCCATTAAAAACATGTTGCTGCTATGGCCAGACTGGGAGAAAGAAGGTATTTTGATATTTATAAGAATAATTAAAACATCTGTAATTATTAGGAAATAATACCACTTCACAAAATGGCAAAGCCTTTGTATAACTAAGAGTAAGTTATTTTTATGAATTAAGTAATTTTAATATTATGCCCTTCTCTGGAACTGTTGCATCTTTTTCTGCATCACCTGGTTTCATTCACTATCAGAACTGATCCATTTATTTTAACAATCTGATAGGGAACAACAGCTCTTTTACCACAACTGAACTTGCAAAATTTTGAATGCAAAACTTCCAAGAACAAAGCTAACTACGTAATTAAGGCTTGTTTACGAATTTGGCTCTAAGTCAGTGATACCACAGGTCGCTGACCAATACAGTAAAATTTAACAAGCAAATAATATTCAATGACTCTCTTCAATATGACTTATTCTGTATAGACCTACACAAAGGGATAGTATATCCTGGATTCACACTTCCTCATAGCAGGACATACCAATATTTTATACTGAAAATTTATTTTATATGACAGAGTTCTATGACAGTGATTCGGGGTCTGTTTGCTCCAACTCTGCTTTTGTCACATTGATACCTTGAGGTGATAAACAACCTAAGCACCACAAGGGAAAGACAACAAAGGAAAATGACTAGTGAAAATGAAACTTTCTATGAGCATTTGCGAGAGTTCCACACAAATAACTTGTTCATTATTAATAATGAGAAATATAGAGGATTCCTGCTCACAGCCTGTGAAAATGTAATCAGTTATCCCAGTTATCAAGAATCTTTCTTTTTATAGTGGATAGTATTTCTCATACTTTATCTTGTGTCTATTTATAGTTCTCCTAAAAATGATGAAAATCCATTTTTCATGGTCCACGAGGAAGTAGTTATTCATGTACCATGAAGCCTACTTTTCAAGTTTGTATTAAATAGTTATTTAGGACATATGCAAAACTTCTTAAATGTTGAGAACACCATGAAACTTAAAATAAAAACAACAAATACAATCCTTACTGGAATAACTGATTGGAAGACAAGTGAATACTAAATATTTCTGAATCTTCTGAGGTTTTTCAGGGATATTAAATTCCTATTGATTCTGCACATATATCTAAGTGGGTATAGCAGTACACCTGAGTTAATCGAGCTTCAAGAGATGAGCTAGATCCCTGAATCTAGCTCGAGTTACAGCAAATGGAGTCCTTTATCTTGCGAAGTTATATTTTCCAAACTCACACATTAAATCACATAGCAAGTGCAGCAGAATGTCTTATGGTAAACATAAAACAATTATGTTATATTGTGTTAACAGTCTCTGCCCACTTTTATTTCTTTCTATTTTGTCCATTTGCTTATATAATTCAATAGAGAAATGCTCAATTGCAAAAAGGTTTCCTGCTTGATATCTTCATGAATGGCATATTTTGAACAGATTCAATTTCTCTGGAGGTCATTGGTTTGCTTCTAGTAAATGTAACAAGCAGCAAAACCTTCCCAAAAGCTAAGTTACTATCCTGCAATCAGAACCCAGCTATATCAATGTTTTGGTGGAACAAGTAGAACAACTAGTACCATAGATATTTCAGAGTTTTTAAAAATAAAATCTCAGAGAACAAACTTTCAAAGACACTGGTTTTTCTAATCTTTCTGCTTCCTCAAACTTACAAGTTTCAGAAATTTCCCATGAGTTTTTTGTGTTTATAGTCAGTTGATACTTGTTTCTGCAACAGAATAAAACAATGATTTTCTTTTCTGTGACATCCTCATTCTGAAAAGTAAATGGTAATTAAGTGTATTGCAACATGTATGTCCCTATTCTTTTTCTACCTCCTAGACATAGCCATAAATGATCAAAAGCTTTCTCCATGGCCAAAGTCCAATACACAAACTGGGAACAGAACAGAATTCCTAAGCTCAACCTTTTTACTATGCAATATATTTTCAGTGAGGATTTAATTGTAGTGATCAGCAAAATGGCAACAGAAAGAAATAAGGTAATAATCTGAACTAACAGATGATGAAGAAATACTAAAGGAAATATTCTTTTTATCTTTCTTCCTCTTGAAACCAACATTAGTAGCAAATATGAATAAGGAATTTTTAGCAAACTGAATCTTTCGTGGCTATTTTAAGAAAATGTGGTATATTTAAGGGAACTTTTGTACTTTGTTACACCGAGTTTAACAGAGCAATGATTTTAATTCCTACTTACATTTCATTACTGCCTGCACTTCGTAGACAGGCATGAGAATCAAACAGCCATTAAAATTCTCAGGAAGTGGACTAGAGGAGTCCCACATATGTACAGTATTAGAAAGTTTAACAATCCGGTTTCTACACTTAGGGATTTTCCATTCTGCAATCTCTTTTAGGGTGTATATCTGGTCATCTTCACACTCGTAGAATTCACCTTCTTGTGAAAGGGGCAAAGTAAAGGAATGAGACTGGTTATTTCTGACCACAACACAGTTCACACCCATTGTTCCATGGACTTCTTCCACTGAGTTGAAGGTGATCTGCTCATCATGTTTGATAGTGAAGTTTGCCAATTGTATATCCTCAGTGCTGTAGAAACAAGGATGGCCAAACCTTGTTGGCCCAATGGAGACTTTTCTTACAATCTCTTCAATGCTGACATATGGAGTCTTATCTGCCACAACTTTGTAAAGACCTAGAACAGAAAACTTGCATTATAAAAAGGGAAATACACAAAGAAATTCATGCCAAATTTTAGACTGCGAATGTTATAAAAAGGGGGAGCAAAGCACATCAAATAATTCATAGATGATAACTCAATTGCTAGAAATACGACTCTATTGAGGTAATATCAGCTGCATGGTACAACGTATAGGAAGCTGGAATGAACCCTTTGTGCTGTGTGTCTAATTTCTGACATCCGGCATACTGAGTCCACATTAAAATTTTTCTTTGCCACAGAAAAGAGAAAAATTATCCTAATTCCTATCTGTCTTCTCAGAAAACCAGCCTTTGAGAGCTAAATGCTGATGTGGTATGAGGAAACACAACATTAGTGTGATCAGTTCATGCGGGATAAGTTTCTTGCCTGAACATCAGTACTATGTAACCTTCCACACACAGCCTGGGAATTCCTTGGTCAAGTGTGTTTACAGGTATTCCCAAATGGAAGAGTAGCACCTACAGATAAAAAAGAGCAAATAGATTTTAGCATATCTGATAGCCCAATCCACCAGCTGGATTAATTCAGAGTCTGGGTGTTGTAGCACTCCAGACATCACGAGGCAATTAAAATGCTGAAGTTCTGCAAGGCAGAAGCTGTATCTGAGCTTCCCTATCTCCTAGGGACATTATTACTTCATGTTAATCATGCCCTTTGGATCTGTCTCATTAGGAGTTTCCATTGCAAGAAAAATGTGTACATTTCTATATTTGCATGAGGGTTTTCATAAAGGAAGATGAACTGGAGGGTTGAGAGGACTAAAAAGCAGGTCTTAGCCGAACTGTGTGGTTCAGCTGTCTTCTTCACTAGGTGTGGCAGCATTGTGAATGCTGCCTAATGGAATTGCAGTGCAGCTTCCTGAGACAGACATTGACAAAAACTTGCTTTCGAGTGAATATAGGAGGAGAATAGAGGTTATTTCCAGGCCAAGTTTGCTAGCCACAAATAAACAAATAGCTACAACTACAGTGACAAAGAAGCTAAGCTCCCTGGGAGATACTGTGCTTTTTCTCCCTTTGTCTGCCAAAGCCAACCAGCAAAAATCCTATGGCCCTGCTCCTCCTGGACTCCTCTGGACCATAGGGCACCTTGTGGTAAAGGTATGCTTCCATTTTGGCTGTTAAGGAGGATGCACAGGATGGGGAATCAAGGAGCCTGGTTGGTACCACTAAAGACACATTTATGGCAGCTTCAAATCCCATGACTAGTTTAAGCCATGTCTGCAAGGTTTTTAAATGTCCTACCCAGTTGTCCCCAGCCAAGGGCAGGATGTTCCAGCACACACCTAGATTTCAGTAAGGTGGAATGCTGCCAGAACACACAGTTGCTGTTGGATCCTGGAAAGACACTAATTTTCTTCCTTAGACCTCCCTTGATTGTGGGCTTGTTTAATAAATTGTATCAGGGGATATTGCTTCTCTTAAAAATAAGCAAGCTGCTATTTTCTTCCACATCCTTTCCCTTACTAAATTTCATTACTGACCATAATCAACACAACTGAGGGCCTTGCATGTTATCAGGGCCCTGCATGGTATCAGGGTGTCCCTAAGATTGTATTTCTTAAAAATAATGTATCAAATAATTATTTTTATCATAAAATCCATTTTTAATATTTTGGGGGGGAGGGTGGATTGGACAGGACAGACGGTTCTGGCTACAGGATTGCTGTGATTCTGGCTTTACAGTTACAAAACCCCACACTTTCACTTTGCAACTTTAGCACCACTCTTGTTAAAGGAGACATAATTCAGATTCTGTCTCTTGAGCAGCTTTTTACTGAATTCATCTCCAGATTGGGCATGTTGGGTTCTGAGTGTCCCATGTGGCCACTAGTAACTCTGGGAACTAATACCTCTGAGGGTATCAGTAACCTAAGCACTAATAGCCTATTTGATCTGCTGCAGAAACAGTCACCAGTTGTGCCATTGTCACTTCTTTCTACAGTTCTGTGCCTTCACAGCTGTCTGTATGACAGCCAGCTTTTCCTGTGTGAAACCAGTACCCTTGTGACAATGCATCCTCTACATATATGTCCTCACTGCAGGAAAACCTACAGGAAAACCTCCAGGCTTTTTCCTGGGCTGCAAGGATGGCACATGCATGAATGTACAAAGTACAACTTCAACACACATTTCTTTCCCACTGATACTTGTGATGTTTCTCACTGCTATTTTTAACACAATTATTAGTGAGGAAGTTATCTGCCACAGTCCTAATCACCACTGGAGCATGTCAGTGCAGATCAACACAAACAGGTTCATCAGCATTTAGAAAGTCTAGATGCGACAAGGCACCAGTGACAAACTGAAACTATGGAAAAGACAGTGTTCTAGTATCATGCTTTGCAAGCACAAGAAGGATGTCATCTCCTGGCAGTGCTGGGAGAAAGCAAATAGGAATATTCTTCATTAAAAAGGATATTCAAAAAACTTATGGAGTGTCCCAAAGGTCTTAACTATGCTCACCCTTGTGATACAGGAGCAAGTGTATGCAGCCCACAGACCTCCTTGAATTGTATTGAAAACCTCCATAAACTGCTAAAAACCACTTCCAGTTGAAAATATTTGCCAGCATACATGTATGAGAAACATTCTTCTCTTCTATGAGTTTGACAATAGTCTCAGGCTACTAGTTTTCCTGTGCCAACAAAATTATTTGGAAGGCAATTATTTCAGCAGCAAACCAATGAACATCCCAGGTTGGAAAGCAGGTGTCATATGGGAGCATAATTATCAGATTTCATACAAAACTAAGCACCTGATTATCCCCTTGGCCCAGGCAGACTGGCTTTGTCAAGGATGGGAGCAAAAAAATGTTTGCCTTCTGTTCTGCTGGTTTTTTTTAATTTTGGTGACAGAATGCTTGCTTGGGCAAAAGAAGAGCCATGTGGCCTTGCGTGTTTACCATCTGTATTGATAAGACTCCTGACATGAAGGCACCTAACAGCCACCTCTGAGTGGCTATGAGCATGCAATATTCTGTATGTTTCTCTCTATGTGGAACACAGGTAAATACATAAAAGGCTATTTTGGTATGTTGGGTGGATGTCACTGCCATATTCTGCCATGGTATCCTGTCATAAATGCTCTCCTTGGTACATATATATGTAAAACCAAAATAAAACATATATATACATATACATATACATATACATATACATATACACATACACATACACATACACATACATATAAATATAAATATAAATATAAATATAAATATAAATAAATATATATATATATATATACATTTATATGTAAAAACCAAAATAAAACCACAAAAAACACCAAACAATATTATCTGGAACAATTCAGAGCCTTATTAAAATCACTGTGAAGAAAATTGCAAAAACAAATGTTTTCAAAATCTAAGATAAAAAGGAAACCTCCAGGAGGTTCAGGACATATGGCAAGTTTGAGATATTAAAATTTGGACATTTTGAGGTCAAACAAAAATATTTTTGTACTTTTTCATAAATCATAAAACAACTGAATCAAATTCACTTAGACTTTCCCAAGAGATCTTGGTGGACTGTAAGGGGGAAAGACAGATGGAAATAACAAATTTGGAAAAAAAGTCCATCTGGTTTATCAAGATCTGGCATTATTCTCCTATAGATATATTTTCTAATGCAATCTGGTCTACAACCAAACTGTTCTGATGTCCAATGGTTTGGGGGAAAATAAGACAGTCATACAAGAAGAACTATGTACATATATAATAATACTAGAGGAAAATAAATATAAGCATTCCACTCCATGAAGCCTCTGTACCTAGTGACTTTTCACTAGATGAAGTATCTGTCTAGACATAATGCAATAATTAGTAAGCCTCAAATATCATCAGCCCATCTTTTCTAGAAGTTTTACTAATTGGTGTACAAATTGAGACAGAGAGAGTTTGAGAATCTGAGAAAATTATTTCACTGGTATGAGAGAAAAAACATAGCCAGAGGATCACAAGACTGAATGTGCTATGGGAAAGTATGTTTTGATAGAAGGATATTTTTATCACCTTTTTACAGAGCAGTATATGCAGCTCTCTTTTACTGGCTGCAGTGTAAAATGTACCACCCTGGAGCTTTATAGACTTCCTATTTTCAGTCTTAATTAGAGTCCTGAAGGAAAAGGGTATTTTACTCTCTTTCCTCCACAGAAAGCTGAGAAAACTGAGTTAGGCTTGCCTAGTAGAGTAGCAAGCAACCTTCAGTAAAAAATGAGAGCAGAACAGATCATCTGTCCCAGACTAGCAGTTTCTGTTCCCCAAGTAAAGCAAGAGGTTGGGAAGAGCACAGTTTCTACCTTCTCTGGAGATAACCTAATTGCTATTCCTCTTTTCCCCCACCTCCAATACCCACTCTCTCCCTCTTCTCTTTCAGCATCCTTCTCTCATGCTGTCCCAAAGGCCAGTTCTCCCTCACCTAGTAGCGAGATGAGCCTTTTAATGCCTAAACCCTGTTCTCTCACGGGTGTGTTGTGTGGTCAGTGACTTGAAGATGTACTCAAAGGGGCAGTCATGCTCAGCTATGTGTTTGTCAGACCATGTAGGAGTGAGCAGCAGTGGCAACCAGGGCCCTCATGAGAACAGGGGCAGCCCAGTAATGTCTTTTGCAGAGGAAGGAACACAACAGAATGTCAGCATTTGAGCTGGCAAACAGTTCAGTTGTTGTGCAAATTACCTGTCTGCTAATTTGCTAGTAGTGAAAATTGTATTTCAAAATGTGGTTAGATGTAGCCATTGAAGTGCCTAGAGTAACAGCAGACTTCTATTTTTTTACCCAGTGTATGAGCACAGAAAGAATAGCTTGGCCCTCTGAGGCATGAAAAAGAACAAATTAGGATGAGGATAAAACGAAATAACACAGATAGTGAACTTGCGGTTGAAGCGGTTTCTCTAATGCAAAGGGCAGATTAGGCCTTTATCAAGAATCTGATTTGCCAGAGCAGAAAAAAAGGAGTTCTGAAGACTGCAAATATGCTCAGAAAGACAAAAAGTAAGGCTCGTTTAAAGCCAATGAGCCCAGTTCTTCACTGTCAGAGCTGCTATCCCCAGAGTAACCTAAATAGGGGCATTGCTCATTCGTGCCAGCACGCACACAGTGAAAGGATACATGAGCCCATGGCATGCAAAAGAACTCATGGCAAAGGAAATGGAAAAGAGCATCAAAGCAAAAGATTTCTTTGCATCAACACAGGCAAGAGGGCACTGTACATACAATGTAAATACAGGGTCAGCCTCCTGGAGACCTGCGAGTATTGAATTAAGTCAAAGGCAGTGTGAATAAGATCATCTGCAATTCAGTTCTGCATTTTGTTCAGGAGATGGGGGCAAGCCATGTTTCGTGTACAATGTTTCAGTTAGAGCTTAGCACGTGTATGTAATAAAGTGAAAAGGAAAAAGGTCAAGAAAGAGCAAGAGAATGGGAAATCTTGACTCTGCAGAGCAGAATCGTTCGTCAGCTAAGAACTAAATTAGAGAAATGACAAATTTATGTCTTACCAAATAGCTCTTGAATGCATAAGAGTACATATACAGAGAAAAACAGGAAAGAGGTGCTCCCTGTTGGGCTAATAAGAAGTGTCATTATGCCCCTCTTCAGTGCTGCTGTTCAGTAATACCCATCATGTGGAGGATAATAATGATAAATTTCAGCAAAATGAACTCTGAATTTATTTTTCAAGTGAAATAACCCAGTTTTCTAGAACACTGGTTGGGAGAGTTCATAACTATGCATGAAAATTGTAGTGATTAGATCAAATTTGAAAATGTACTCAGTAGGGCAACAGCATCCAAATGCCAAGTTGTAAAACTGATCACTTGAATGCAAATAAATCCCGATTCACCCGGTTCAAGCACTTGAAATCACAAATCTTTCTGTTCTAGCAGACATTAATAAATTTATGACTACTTTTATCACTCTGTTGTGTTGGATATTTTAGGATTCAAATGTTCAACCTCATATGCCAATCAAGATTTAGAATATATTTCTATTGGTGTATGTATTTCAGAGATAGAAGAAATTTTAATAATGTCAGAGAAACTTGGATTACAAGAGAAATACTAAGTGTCTTGAGAGTTCACAGGAGAGTCATATTTCAATATCTCTAGATAGCCACAGATAATTAAAAGGTCTTTGATCTCTACGTCTGGGCCCTACTAGTGTTTTCAAATGGCATTCCAAAAAAAAGTCTTTTAATAGGTGGTCATAGAAACCATTCAGATTCACAGGATAAGAAAAATGTGAAAGAAAATTGAGGATTTACTGGAGGGGGGGAGAAAGTTATATATACACAACTATTTCAGGGTGAAATCTGTATTTTAGAGGTGGCAGATAAAGGCATAGCAGAAGATATTTTTCTGTAGAATTCATATGAAACATTTAATTCTCATGGACTTTTACATTTTATTTGTTTCAAGAAGTGTGTCTTGTCTCCCTCTGCAGAAAAAACACATCCCAGCTTGGATACTGGCATAACCTAAACCTTATACATGCACGTGCACACACTCTGGCATACTCAGCAAGACTTTAGAAGAGCATCAATGAGGTTATTAAGTCAAGCACTCAAACACTAGAAAACACTCATATTATGTTCCCCATGCAGCATCAATTTAATTTCCCGTGTGCTTTCAGTACAAAACAGTGATAATTAAATATTTAGGGTTTGGGTTTTTTTTTTTTTTTTTCTTTTGTACAGAACTGTAACCTCATTCAGTCCATTAGCTAGGCTGATGGCCAAAGTGAGTCCTGGGCACAATCTCAGACTCTTGAAGTCTGTTGTGTACTGTGTGTGCTCTGTACCAGTGTTTCCATTACGCTAGTGTCCCACAGCTTCTCCCCCAGGCTCCTTCCCACTCCCCCTGCCCTCCTCATGCAGTTTTTCAGCTTGCTCATCTCCTCTCCCCAAGGGACTCCCATTACCTCTGCTGCCTGCAAGACTCCCAGCATAGGAACTGCCCTACTTGCAAGTCTTCCTCTGCTGCTGAAATCACCTTCATCTGCCTCCGGTCTCTGATCTTTGCATGGGAAGTCTTCACCCTTCTGTCCTGCTCTGAGGTCAAAATTTTTTCTACCATTTTCCTAAAATAGTTTGCCTCCTACACTTCCCACATATGGGATATGCACTTCTCCCTCTGTGCTTTACTCACTTCCCTGTTCAACTCTGCTGGGCCCTAACAGTAAAAGAACTGAGAGCAAAATTCAAAAATTAATAAATATGACACATGATGAAATAGTACTGGGTTCAGTACTTGGCCAGCTCTCCTTAACAGGGCAACACAAAGAGAGGAAGATATGATTCAAGTAACAAGTCAGTAGCACATGCCAAAATTTGAAGTTTATACTCCAAAATCCAAAATTTGGATTTCTCTGTAGAACAATTAAAGAGGTTTTTAAGCAGAAAAACACATCTATTCCCCTGTAGTCCTCTTTCCAAGCATGGACCAACTCTGGCCACCATAGTTAAAATAAATCATTAAAATAAAAGCACTATTGAAAACAAATTATTGAAAATATTTTGTACCCAAAATAATAAAATACAGATTTATTAATAGTAAATAAATTATAGTTTGAGAACACGACAAAGAAGATTTCAACTCAGACAGGGTTTGGCAAAGTCATAAGTAAATGAAAAGAAGATTTTTT